ACACCACAACGCTGCATGACGTAAGCCTTCTCCGCCGCCGATATTCTAGGATGCTTCTCAGGCAAGTCGCTTATGATAAGTAACCACACGAAGGTCCACACGAGAGCCAGGGCGCCGAAGATGTAGAAGACCAGCGGCCAACCACCCAGGATATCTACGTCGCACAGCCAGCCGCTCACGACCAGGGCCAACACGTTCCCGAAGTCAATGCCTCGAAGGATACAAGCATTATTTATTCAGTTTCTTTATTATTATTGTTATTGAAAGTGTTACTATTATTATTTATTGTTGATATTATCATTACTATTGTCATTATTATTATTGTTATTATCAATATTATCATTATTATCATTATTATCATTATTATCATTATTATCATTATTATCATTATTATCATTATTATCATTATTATTATTATTATTATCATTATCATTATTATCATTATTATTGTTATTATTATTATTATTATTATTATTATCATTATTATTTATTGAAGGGACTTCGATGGAACCTATAAGAACTTTGAAGGAACTCGCTTTAACTCAAAAGAGCTCAATAGAAGCTTCACAGAACTCTACGGAACTTGACTAAACTTGACGGAACTTGAATGAACTTGAATGAACTTGACGGAACTTGACAGAACTTGACTGAACTTGACAGAACTTGACGGAACTTGACGGAACTTGACGGAACTTACCATTATACACAAGGGTAACGAACTTCCCCCTCTCGTCCGGCGGGATCCAGGAGGCAAGGAGGGTCGTCATCGCGGGGAAGGAAACGCCCTAAGGAATGGGCAGAGAGGGGCAGGGAATGGGTAAGTGGAGACAAAAAAGGCGCTTTATTAGTCTTTCTTTCAGTTCTGTTTTTTATGCTGATTGTTTCAATTTCAAATTAGTATATCGGATATGTCCAAGTCTATTTTTATAAATATATAGTAATATTTTGTATATATGTCAGATCTCTATCTATCTTTTCAGTTTAACTGAAAGTTAACTGTAGTTGAACTTTTGGTTCATTTTGAGCTCTTATCCTGTTTTTGGCTTACACGCACACACACACACACACACACACACACACACACACACACACACACACACACACACACACACACACACACACACACACACACACACACACACACACACACACACACATACACACACACACACACCCCTCCCACCCACCACTCCGGCGCCGACGAGCACCCTGGCGACGACCAGCGCTTCGGTCGACCTCCGCGCCAGCCAGGGGGAGAGGACCGTGAGGAGACCGCTGACCGAGTAGCCCAGACCGAAGACCAGTTTCCCCCCCAGGTGCTCCGCCGCGCGACCGGCTATCAGGTTGGTGGAAATGTACCCGTAGAAGAAGGAACTGAGGATCCTGCCCTGCGTCGCCTCGTCCCACGCGAACTCGCCGGCCTGGGGGGGAGGGAGGGGGGGTAGGTAGGTGAGAGGGAGAGGGGAGGGGAAAGGGAGAGGGGAGGAGAACGGAAACGGAGAGGGGAGGGGAAAAGGAGAGGGGAGGGGAGGGGATAGGTGAGGGGAAGGGGAAGGAATGGGGAGAGAGGAGGGAGAAGGGAGAGGGGAGGGGAGGGGAGAGGGAGGGGGAGTGCAGGGAGGGGAAGGGGAGGAAAGAGGAGAGGGGAAGGGAAGGGGAAAAGGGAGGAGAAGGGCAGGGAGGGGAAGGGAGTGGAATGGGGAGAGGGGAAGGGAAAGAGAGAGGGGAGGGAAAAGGGAAAGGGGGAGGGGAGAAGGGAAGGGGAGGGGAGGGGGAGGGGAAGGGAGGAGAGAAGGGAAGGGAAAGAGAGAGGGGATGGGAGGAGAAGGGGGAGATGATATGTTACAGTATCAGTAAGGTGATATTTGCGATACTATCAATTATTGATAGAACAAACATCATTAATTCAGCAATGCTAAGTATATAAATAAACACCAGTACCAAAGACGACAAAAAAATAATTCCAAGAAAACAAAAACAAAACACATACACAAAAAACACCATTAGTCATCTCTGCAAAACTCACTTCATTACGGTTTGTCTCAGCCACATGATAATCATCGGGGAAAGGACAGGTGTCAAATGAGGCGTTCCGGTCCGTAGAGTTTTTGGCCTCTGATTTGACCATCGCGACGATCGTGATGGAGAGACAGACCCTGACGGTGGACAAGACGGTGAAGCCCAGGAAACCCATGAGTGCCAGGGTGTGCCTCGCTCCCCACCATTCCTTTGGGGACTCTGAAAAGTAAGGAAATTGTTAAGAAAAAAAAGAATGAATACCAAGTCGGGTTTCGTAAGGTTGTGTTATGTGTTTGTCAAGTGATGATATATTCCCCAGAAGATCTTATTTTTTATGTATTCCCATATTTATCATCGTCAATGTAGAGAGAAAAGGTGAATAAATGGCCGTGAAAAAACTATATGTACATATCCCCAAGCAGATCTCATTTCTTATATCTTCTCCTGGTTATCAATTAAGAAAAATAAAACTGAAGCAATGATCACATAACATTTAAAAACATCTCTGTTAATTCTTCACTCAATCATCATGGCCGATAGGTCTTTGTGAAGTGAAAATATTGAAGTTATAATGAATCTCTCTCTGCAAAATTTCATTCAGTACTATTTCTAGCTTTCTACCATAAAACTAATCCCCCTTCTTGTTCTTAAGTTCATAACAAATTGACACTACTATTCACATAAAAAAAAGAAAAAAAAGAAATACAAAATGAATAAGTGGAAAAAAAAACATCTTGTATTACCTTCTCCACAATCTTCACTCACGAGCGCTACTCTGGACGCCCCGACCACTTCCACAGATTCATTTCCTCGAGTTGAATCCTCCTTCGCTTCTCTTTCTCCTCCATTCGTTATCTCGATTTCATTACTTCCTCTTCTTCTTGGAATGGTATCGGCGCCATCTTGGATTTTCCTGAAGGAGGTGAGGGTAGTGGGCGCTGGTGGAGTCATGCTCATAAGGACGCTCCTTGGGTAAGGCCTGTTGCCACGGGATACAATAACGTAATGTATGAGAGGGAATATTCGATCTCATTTTCTCTTTTCCTTTCGTTTTTTTTTTATTTTTTCTATTTTTTATTCTTTCCTTCTTGATATCTTTCTGCCCTGTCTGCGTGTCCGTCTGTCTCTGTCTCTGTCTTTGTCTGTCGGTTTATCTGTCTCTCTGTGTCTGTTCCTGTCTCTGTTGTCATGTTATAATAATGATAATAATGATAATAATAATAATAATTATAATAATAATGATAATAATAATAATAATGATAATAATAATAATAATAATAATAATGATAATAATAATGATAATAATAATAATAATGATATATAATAGTAATAATAATAATAATATGATAATAATAACGATGATAATAATGATGATGAATGATAATAATAACAAAATAATGATAACTAATGGCTAATAATAATAATAATAATTTTTTTTTTTTTTTTAATTCTTTCCTTCTTGATATCTCTCTGCCCTGTCTGCGTGTCCGTCTGTCTCTGTCTCTGTCTTTGTCTGTCGGTTTATCTGTCTCTCTGTGTCTGTTCCTGTCTCTGTTGTCATGTTATAATAATGATAATAATGATGATAATAATAATAATATAATAATAATATAATAATAATAATAATAATAATAATAATAATAATAATAATAATAATAATGATAATGATAATGATAATAATAATAATAATGATAATAATAATAATAATAATAATAATAATGATAATAATAATGATAATAATAATAATAATAATAATAACAAAATAATGATGATGATAGTAATAATAATAACAACAACAATAAAAACGATGATAATAATGATGATGATGATAATAATAATAATAATGATAACAATGGCAATAATAATAGTAATAATAACAATAGTAATAATAATAATGATAATAATAATAAAACCATTATAATAACATTAATAATAACAATAATGGTAGTTGTAATAATCATGAAAACAATAACAATGATCTTATGAATAATAGTGATAATATTAATGAGCAAATAAAAGAACAAGATCTAAAAAGAGTTTGGGAAATTTAGTTGAGTCAGTTCTTGAAATCGTAACCTTTAACCCGTTGCCGCCAAGAAAAAAGGAAAAAAAATGGGGAAAATGCTGTGTTCGTTTTTTTTTTAAATATTTTTGTGAAATGTCCCTGTACATAGATAGGTCTGCTAGTGTTTAGCCACAAAGGAGTCAAGTAGTAGATCTTGTAACCTTACCTGATTTCAATTTTTCTAGAAATTTTATAAACATTATAATTACTATAATGCTAGAAACATTAGTAACAGCAAAATAAAATAACGTAAAATATTTTCGTAAATCAATGAATAGGGTGAACTGGCGAGACAGGCAGTACTCATAACTGGCTCACTGGTGACTTAGTACAAGTGTGTACAGTGTGTAAAACAATTAAACAAGTAACTCACAGTGGGCATGGCATGTACGTACAGACCATGCCCGTCGGCAATGGGTTAATCTTTTATGCCCTTCAAGGTCACTGAGAGGAGTCAGTAGGTATTTTTTTTTACGCAAACAACTTGTGTTGATTACATTAAGGAAGAATAATGCTTTATAACTAAAGTATTTCCATAAAGAAAGTTAATTATTATAATTCAATGTTTTTTTCTATAAAGATTATTTTCAATTCGAGCATAATCAATAGTTTCAATTGTTATAACCTTAATTCACTGAATAAATATAGATTATTCTACTGGAATGATTATGCATTCATTCCGCAATGAAATCACAATTAATATCATATCAAATAATATTCACACTCGTAGCCAGCTGAGAGGAAGGCGCTGGAAAAGCTTTGTGAGAGACATTCGTGACAGTGAACGTAAAGTTTACTCTATTTTAAATGATTATAAGACTCGTTTTATCGAATCTTACATTTCACTGTCGAAGCCTAAGGCCTTTCTCGGTCTCGACAGTGAATGTAAGGATCGATGGCCATTAAAAGGAATAAG